ATTACAGCACAAGCAACTCGTACCATCTGTATTTATCGGCGCACGTGCCGTACAGTACTGGATCAAAAGAGGATTCAAGATTACGCAACACCATTCATAGCAGCCAATACTGCTGTTGCCTACTAGTATTTACCGCTACATGCGCAGTACAGTACAGTTCTGGATCGAAAGAAGATCGAAGATTACGCAACACCATAATAGTGCTCTGAAGATTCGTAAAGTGGAAAATGGCATTGTTCACAAAATTTGCAAAATCAGCTAAACCTAAGGAAATTATGATGTGGTAATCTTCGATCTCTTGGGCGTGATGTTGGGAGAGACCAGAAATTCAGACAACTGGAATGAGAATATTTGATTGTTTTCATAGCACAAATAATTTATTAGCGTTTGAAGATGCACAGCAGACTTATCAGCAAAGGAAGCACATGGGCACGTACAGGGTACTACTAGCACAGGAAAGACGAATTCCACTATGATATCAACTGCACCTACTTGAGGTGACTAAAAATATAGCGAGCGGCCTGCAGAAAAACAACAGTCGATGCACACACACACACACACACACACACACACACACACACACACACACACACACACACATACATACACACACAGAAATACAATTGGTCAGTAAACAAAGGTTAGCAGGAGGTATATCTTCGATGATAACACATTAGTTACGGTTGTGTTCAAAGAAAGTACAATCTCAAGTAATATTGAACTCGGATGGTGAGCCAATGTCATTAGTCACACTCGCTGACTGTATAAGATCTGGTTACGTTGGTAGACAGTTAGTCAGAACTCCTAACATGTTGTCCTCCTTTTTTTTTAACCATATTAATCTCATGGTTGATAAATATGGTGGTAAATTATAACTCTTAACCAGCACCCACAGATCTGGGGTTGCGCAGGAACCGCCATTAGTTGACTCGCATGACAAGATTTGACACTGTACAACCGGTTGACTTACATGGCATAACATATACCGTAATGCCGTGTATTAAAGCCAGGCTTATTCCTGTAGAAGCCGATGTCAGGGCCAGGCTTTTATTCACACCAGGCTTCTATTCAAACCCGGTATTTCTATGTGTGTCAACATTAAAGCCAGGCATATGTGCTGGCAGTGTATCTTGAAAATCAGGCTTCTATTATGAGATAGGCTGTAATACAAGACACTACGGTACACAGACGTGAACAATAAACAGCCACATATTTGCTCTCTTCGCTCTACTCTAACACACGTGACAAGACAATGTTACAATGGAACATCACAAATCTGGCCCCTGTGGGACGAGAAATCTGGCCCCTGTGGAACAAGAAAACTGACACCGTTGGCGATGTGGTATCATGCATTTTGTATGCTAATATACATGTAGGGGTCTCGCTGAAAAACAGCTACATTTAGCAGTGCTCTGCAAAAGTGAGGTGGCCTGGTACTGAAACTGTCCCAAAAGACCACTGCAGCTAGGACCAAGAGTTCATAACCCCCAAGAGTGTGCAACTCGACTATGGGTGCTGTCCCGACAGAATTTCAAGTTGACATCACGTTTATGATGCAATGCGCACTGTACACGGATTATCAGACGAATCCGGAACCTGTGGTGGACCAAAGCCCATCTGATCCTGTACAAATTATTGCAAAGAAAAACGTGTCATGCTTTGACATCCGTACACATGTAATAAATCACTGGTGCAGGGAGCATTGAATCATAAATAATGACGCCAACTTGAAATTCTGTCAGGACAGCAGGGTATGTGGGAGTTGCACACTCTGGAGGGTTATGAACTCTTGCTAGGACCCTATGATGTTATTTCCAGTCAAATGACCCTGGACAAGGGGACCACCCATACACAGGGACCACATTTGCACGGTCCCCTGCGCTGTCGCCTCGGACAGGTTTCATTGCACAGTAAAAAAAAACCCAGATCCGGACCTCCCTAATATTGGGCACGTCCGTCTACCGGGCACCTGTCTGGACTAGTGCAAGATGCATACTAGTATGCATATACAATGCATGCAACAGATTTGATGTAGATCTGCTCATCCAGATGTGCCCCTGGGGCCCGTGGCCATACTCGGCAGTGTCCAGACAAACAAGATCGGACTGTACAGTAGGACAACATGAAAGCGCAATGTGAAGATGATTCATACAAGACGCGAAACTGCAGAGATTTAGAATTATACCTAAAAGGCACTTGCAGTGTATGTGACAGGAGACACAGGTCAGCTAATGGCACGACATAATTGAAACCACTCAGGCCTCTGCCCCCGAAGAACTTAGCACTGTAAACAGGACATCTTTGCGCCTGCTTTAGTCCAGGATTTGCGAGCACAAACCAATTGGAGGGTGAAAATGTGTCCGAATGAAATCAATCTTTGTGTGTATGGGTATGCATGGTGTGTATGTGTCGCGAATATAATGTGGCATGCATGGGTGTGCGAGAGAGAGAGAGAGGAGAGAGAGAGAGAGAGAGAGAGAGAGAGAGAGAGAGAGAGAGAGAGAGAGACAGACAGAGAGAGAGGGAGAGAGAGAGCGAGAGAGAGCGAGAGGGAGAAATAGAGAGGGAGGGAGAGGGAGAGGGAGAGAGAGGTAGAGGTAGAGGTAGAGGTAGAGGTAGAGGTAGAGAGAGAGAGAGAGAGAGAGAGAGAGAGAGAGAGAGAGAGAGAGAGAGAGAGAAAGAGAGAGAGAGAGAGAGAGAGGGAGAGAGAGAGAGAGAGGGAGAGAGAGAGAGGGAGAGAGAGAGAATATGCGTAAGCATATACACATGACTGCCGTCGCCATGCGCTATGTGGCTTACAGTAGAAGTGGCCATTCAGAGCCAGGGGATCAGATAGGCGTAAGTGTGCATTCACACATTTCACACACAGGAAATAAGGGTAAAATATTTTTTCGGTGAGATTTAAACTTCCGGTGGCTAGACAGACGATGCCAATGTTCTGACAAATGACAGAGGTCAGCTGGTCTGCCTAAGTGGCCCAGCATTCTTCGTTTAGTTTTGAACATTTCGCATTGAACACGCCGCCATCCCCGAGTGATTGGCCGGCTGTACAGAAAACTGGATCCGTGTGCAATTCTGTATACGAGGACCCTGACAGTGAAAACTTACAACACGACTTACATGTCCAATGCAAATAGATTTTGTCCATGTACTACGTACAAAAGAATGTCAGTGTGGCCGTGCACGCACTCTGGACAACTGGCATGACTCACAAGAGATATTGTGCTCTTTTCCAGAGAGTGCTATTTCTACTACTCCACTGCTCGCTAAAAACATGTTGGACGCGTACAGCATGAACAATACATCGTGTGATGTTACACGAAAGTTTTCGTCGGCGACGGTGCTGACAGCAAACACATGCAGAGTTTCACACTCCTAGGGAGGGAGGGGGTAACTCCAAGTAAGTAATGCGAGAGCACCCCACCTTGATTTTACAGCCCGCGAAAGGAAAATCCTATGTCAGAGTGCAACAACGTTTGTACGGTGTGAGAACCTTAGTGTACTACAGTCCATTTCAAAACTATAGACGCGTACCAAGGCAAAAACCGTTATGCCAGCATCTATACCACATAAAATCTGTGATCACTTTGTGCATACTTTTTTCCTAACTGGGCGTCTGTTATCCAATCGTTTAGAAACTATAATTATGAGAGTAATTGTGGAGCAGACCTGAGCAATATTCCGAAAACTATTCTCAAAAAGCTCCAGCCAAATTTGAAATAATTCAAAAACACTACGCGTCAAGTTTTGAAATGGACTGTAAGGTCATCACGCCTAGCATGTTTTTGTGTGGAGCTCAAAGGTATTTTAAACTGAGTACGGATTGAGTGCACAGCGTGCCATGTGTGTACAAGATACGAGTCGTATGACCTTCAGACAGGACACCACCTCCACAGCACGACCACGAAAGGACGAGTTCGTGGGGCGCTCTCGCGGTACTTTACAGTACAATACAAGTATCAACAACCAGGCATCAGAAATCATAGTCTATTAAAGACACGAGCTATACACACCCAAACTATAACACATACGTACAGAACAACATACGCATGTTTTGTTCAACCTGGCTACCGGTATTTCAGTTCTACAGCTGCAACGCTGCCGTCGACGTGAGAGCAATTACATGTACGTGTATCTTTAATTTCGCTTTCGAAAATAACATTTAATTTTGTTCTTGACAGGGTCCAAGCTAGAAACTCCCTTTGGCTCAAGCTGACAATCTGAGACTGCTGAGCAACATCTACCTACTCTATAATTTAAACAGACAACTGACTGCTAGCTTCGCAGTTGAAGTTTTAATGTTGTACACACAAACTCAAGGAACAAACAATTTGTGCTCAATTTTCGGTGTTAACAGTTAAATTTTCGTTTCTAATTGAGTAGAGAGAATTTTCCCGATGAATATGACACCAAAGTCAAAGTCATCCAAAAATACTTGCTTGGATCAGTACACAACAAACTGAGCTACTTACACAATTATCTACGCTTTCCACGAAATCCAAAAACTCCTCTTTGCAGGACTCCGACGTATTTGTTTTACTGCTGACTCGCTCGGCACAATCGTCATATCGGGCCTTCATTCTACTGCATAGAGCAGTGCGACCACACCTCTCCTTAACAGTATCCAGAGGGTCTACAGGGTCCTCCTCATCCTCCTCGTCTTCCTCGTCATCGTCGCCCTCCTGTTCGGCATCATCGTCTCCCTCATCACCCTCTTCTTGAACATCATCCTCTTCGTCCTCTGATTCCACAACTACGACTTCCTCCTTGGAAAGCAGCACACACGAATACCATAGGGAGACCCATGATTTTCATGGCTCGAACTTGCCCTGATCCAAATGAAGATGCCCTTACCTCCTCCGCGGCAGAAGCCTCCTCGGCACGAACTTCTTCACCTGTCGCCGCCATCTTCGTGATCTTCACAAACACACTGTGCACGAACCCAGCAACACAGCCGAGCGCAAAAGTTACTTGTTGCTTGTTTGATCTGCCTTGCGCCTCCCTTGAAATAGGGAGTTCAGTCACGTGACAGCACGGTGAAAAATCTTCGTCACGCGTCATGCATGCATTTATGACGTGAGCATGGCACAAAAATGTGCCACGTGGAAATATTGATTTTTTTTTAGACTTGTAGTTTGTTGAAGAAGGAGATGACAGCCATTTGACAGAGGAGATTTTTAGCTTTCGTTTGGTGTCTCACTCGAGGTCACAGTCGTGAGATGGGACTTCCCACGTCTTGCCGTAAAACTTTGAACGCGATTTTGATGTTGTTCCTTTGAGCGTTGACGGACGGTGATTCTTCCATCGTGTTCCTCGTCCCAAAATTAGGTAAGAACGATCGTCTTTCTTCATCTAGTTTGCAGCGGTTCCAGGCGGTAAGGAATATTTGTCTGCTCTGTATTTCTCTACAGCGAGAATTTGAATATTTGAATTCTTCATGGCCGATGAGGAGGAGAATAGCCCTGGACCTGCATGTCGGAGGCTTGGTATTTATTCAAGCAAACTGAGAAATGCGTTGAAATCAGACGAAGCTCTTACCTGTTTGAAGACGAGTGATTTTCCTGTCACCAACGATGTCGTTCTGGAGCTACTTACATTCAAAAATGCCTCGAAGTTTTCGTTCAACGATATGTTGAAATGGACTGGTTCTCTGATAGGTTCCAGTACCAACGATATTGCTGTTGGCACGTTTGCCTCTAGAGTCCGTTCTCTGCAGCAACGTCGAGCAAGGCTGCTGAAGGACAAAGCCAGCGATCAGATTGCTGTCCTACTGGCTGAGCCCTTTATACTACCCTCTCCATCATCCGGCCAGTCGGAGTCAGGTGAGCGTGATAGGGAAAGCACCTCCAGCACTGAAGTTGGTACAACAACTGAGCCTTTGGCAGCAGAGGTTTTCCAGGTGCAGAGAGAAGCTAAGGCACAGGAGGAATTAGTGGGATCTTTAAAGGAGAAAATGAAGGTTGGGCAAGGGAAGCTACGAAATGTTAAAAAGAAATTGGGACGTCGAGATGAGACAATCAGATCACTGGAGGCTAAGGTAGCTAGTTCAGTAGAGGCTGATATGGTTGAAGATGAGTATGATGAACAGGATGAACAGGGCAGTGAGGATTACATGCCTATGGTAGATGAGCTGAAGAGGAAGCTAGTTAACACGCAGCATAAAGTGTATTATTGGCAGAAGCGTGCGGGTGATTTAGATACTTCCAGAAGGGAACTAGAGCGTGAACTGCAGGAGAAGTCTTTGTTGTTGTCCAGAGCTGACGGCAGAATTAAGCAGTTGGAGTTGGAGGTTGATGACTTAGGTTCACAGCTGCATGAAGAATGTAGTGGCTCCATGATTACAACATTTTCTGGCAATGCGTACCTCCCAGAAGTAGTCAAGTGTTGTATGGAGTTGTTGGCATTGAATGTGGGCATATGGAATGTGAAATCGGTCATTGATTGTGTACTTCATAACCTAGTCAGCAAGAAAGTAGACAGACTCCCTAGTGTAGGAACTTTGTCTGGGATGCTGGTGCAGCTAAAATCAGTTAGTTCACAGCATGCAGCTGAAGTACTTTCTCAGGCAGAAAATACAACCTTGCACACTGATGGCACGAGTAAGTTTGGTCAGAAGTATGGTACCTACCAAATTGCCACTGAAAATCAAGTTTTTAGTGTGGGTATGGTAGATATGAAAAATGGCACGTCAGAGCACATCCTTGATAAGTTCAAGGAGGTTTTGTCCGACCTTCAGGATTCGTGCAAGGGTGTTGGCGAGTCTTGTGAAACTGGCAATAAGATTGTAGCGAACATCAAGAACACGATGAGTGACCGGTGTGTTGTACAAAGAAAGTTCAATGAGTTGTTACATGACTATCGAGAGAAGATTTTGCCTGATGTTGTTGCTAGCTGGGAGACATTGAGCAATGAGCAGCAAAGTTCATTTTCCAACATGAATAATTTCTTTTGTGGAATGCATTTCATTGTTGGCTTGGCCGACCAATCACAGATTGCAATGAGGAAATGGGAGGACATGCATTTTGGTGATCAGCCATTTGGTGCACATACTTTGCATGGTGTGTATGATACAGACGGGTCTCGGGTCTTCAGATTACTTCGCAATGCTGCAAATGCGTTTCAGAAACATGGGAATGAGCAGGCTGGGTGCATGCATGCCTTTCGTAGTTATGTGACTGACATGGGGGGAGTGGTGCCTTTGGCAGAGCAGAGAGGCAACCGCAGCTATGTTTGCTACTTCAATGGTGCTGGAGTGTATTACCTTCACGAGCTCATGACAACGTTCCTGCAGGATGTTCAGGCGGACCCCAACCAACTCCTCCGTGCTGTCAAGGCTGACCTTGCAATCCCAGAATTGTTATCTGGTGCAAGAGCCCTTGGAATTCTCTCCAAGCTCGTCATAATGCCATTGTGGAAGGCTTTGGAAAGCAAATCAATCTCCATCTCTGACATGTCCAACGTCTACAGTCAGCTCCAGAAGAAATTTGAGTACTGGACGAATGATTCTGCGGACCTCCTCGACGGCACCGCTCGGCCGTTCACAGATGCTTCAGTTTCCCTCACCGACCCCGTGCTCACTTACCTGCTGCAGCCCAGTCCGAGTGACACTACCACTGTTGAGATTTTGCAGATGTTATGCACCGTGTATGCTCGGTATACATCTAACCTACTCTCCGATCATCTGCCAGGCGGTGCGTTCCATAAACCTGACGAGGCAACCAGAGTGCAAACTGCCTCTGTCAGCAACACCAATGTCGTTTCTGAACGTGATTTCGCGCAACTGGATCGACTTATCCGAGAAAAGCCCAATTCAAGAACTATCGCGCTGGAGGGGATGATTATGTTTTCTAATAACAAAACCGCAGAATGGCTGACCAGTAAACCTGCCCAGGAACAAGCCGAAATCCTCCAAATGGCACGGCAGACAGCTCCAGCTATGCAGGAAGCCTTCAGGAAGCGCCAGAAGGAAATCCATGAGTACTGCGTTCAGCGACTTCGTGACAAAGCAAAGGAGATTGCAGAGAAGAGGGAGAAGGAGCTGAAGAGGAAAGAAGCTTTGACGAAAGATGTTGAGCGCTATGGTCTGTGGACATCCAGACAAGAAGTTGACGAAAAGGTTGCACTCCTGAGCACCATTGCAGCAAAGAAAGCGGCTTTGAAAGCGCAGCTGCAGTTCCGGAAAGTTGTCCTGAATCAGAAGGCATCAGGAGATCTCTTTGCCATGTCTAAGGGTGGAAAGCAACATCCTGTTCAAACACTGATCAGCCATCTCTGCGAGCTACTGAATGTATCGAACACTGCCAGCTCAGGTGCTGCTGCACCCGGTCAGGAAGCAACTCCGCTTGACCCAACCGGCCACACCAGCAGCTCGGCTCATGTTGCAGGCAGTCAGCACGCAACTCCCCTGGAGCCAACCACTTACACCACCAGTCCGGCTGATGTGGACAGTCAGCGAGCAGCTTCGTCAGAGCCAGCCGCCAACACCACCACCTCGGCTGACAATGTAGATTGCGAGCTGGAGCCAACAGCAAAACGGCTCCGCGTTGAAAATGAATAATTTTATTGTCCAAAGACATGGTCAAAGACATGGTCAAGACAAGTTTGTGGTTATTGTGTTGACTGTTTTTATTGTCTTTTTTGTGTCTTCCCCTCTTCCAACTGTTCTCTTCACTTTTTTCCTGTTCCGTTGCTATGGTAACAATGCTAGAATTTCCCGTTAACACTGTTAACCTACATTCCATTTTTGTTTTACCACGCTTGTGCAACGTTTTCACTCCATATTGTCATCATTGATATGTTTCGTTGCGTTTCTGCAATGTTGCTATGGGTTGCCATGGAAACAATACACGGCGACGTGCCGTCAGGTAGTTGTTGTACATAGAAATGTTTGTACATTATTGCTTATCATATAGGCCTGTCATTTGGGCTCTTTTCAGCGAACTTTTTGTTTTTGTCACTATGTCCCCTGGTCAACTTCCCCTGGGTCCGTTTGTCAGTTTGTGCCATGCGTGCTATACACGTTTACATACAATTCAACACAATTCTATGATGATTGGCACCACAATTGAAATGACTGTATCTCAGGTTTGCTTTGAGATTTTCACATGAAATTTTCTGTGTGCTCTTGAAAGACGTGCTTATTCGATTTCCAACAGAATTTTCCTGGGAATTCTGAATTTGATTTTTTTGCCTGAACTCCCTACTTGAAAGCGTGCATGGCTTGATGACTTGCGCTTGCAGGGTACCGGGTAGGTATTTTACTACTATCAGGAGTCGTAAAACTATGCCACGTAAGGCCGATTCCACACTACACCAAATCCTGTCTAAAAAGCCATTTTTCAGGCACTTTTCAGGCAAGTTGCCATGGCGATCACTTTGAGAAACGCGCGAAAGTGAAAAGTGCTTGTTGTCTACAAAGCAACACCAGCACCCTCTTTCAAGGCAACTTTTTGCCTTTTCAGGACACTTTCTGACTTCTTCAGCCTTTCGATTTTTTTCCGAATGTGTTCCCTGTCGTATCTTTCAGTTGTGGTGAGTTGTGAGCTGTCAACAATGCCTAGGGTCATTTTTAGCCAGGAGCTTGAGAGCAAGCTGATCGAGCTTTGGAGCGGACATTTGAGGCGACCTCCGGGCGGTACAGTTCGCAGGAGCTACGCCGGAGGAGATCGCCATCAAACTGAATTTGTTTGCTGAACAGCTCCGGGAGGAGGCAATCTATACTGCGTGGATCGTCCATTCCAAAATCGACAACATGAAAACGAAGGCGAAAGGACTGTACGAGACATACACAACGAAAACTGCCACCGGAAAGCCTGTTGGCGAGGTTGACAAATATTCGACTTATCATCTGGAATCCGCCTACATAGCGCGCGCTAGCGTGGTCAAATTTCAAGATTGGGCACGCGAAAATGGGTGATATTCGAGGATTTGGACCAACAAAGAGCCTCTCCACTACCGCCGTTGCTACATCAAGCACAGGAAAGCCTCACAGTCTAACCTT